GCGACCTCAGGGTCGAGTCCGGGCATCTCTGCAGCGCTCCAGGCGAAGAGATCAGCGTTCTCGCGCAGACATGCCTTGATTTGCTTCCTGGCCAAGTCGGGGAGGTCTTTGCCAATCTTCACTCCCTTGGTCGGGTCTGCTCCGAGGGGAACGAGTTCAAAATCACCGTCCGGAATAGGTCGGAGTGGGATTTGCTCGCTGCTGGATGGCTCGTCTTGGTCGAAGCGAGCGTCGAGGGCTATGGAGTCGACCTTTGGTGGAGCCTTCTGGACTTCTTCCTCGGGGGATGCTTTGTCGGGCTCCTGCTTTGTCCTCTTGGTGGGTCTGGTCCCCACGTCGACGGTATCCCGTCCCCTTGAAGCGGCGTTGAAGCACCTGCGGGCAGCGGTGAGGTCTCCCTGGATGGTGGCTACCCTTGCCCTTTTGGTATAGAACTTCATTTTTAGATGGACAGTTGAGGGCACCGCTGTCAGCTCCGCCAATGTCGGCCTCCCCAAGATGCAATTGTATAGGGACGGGCAATCAATGACGAGGAAGCGGACCTTAACCTGTCTTGTAGCTGTTCCTTCCCCGAACGTCACCAGGAGCTCGACATAACCCCAAGGTTTGGAAGTCGAGCCGTTGAAGCCTTGAAGATCCGAACCCACATACGGAGAGAGATGTGAGTCGTCCAATTGCAAGGTCTGGAACAGCTGGATGTACATCACGTCGACGGAACTCCCTTCGTCGACCAGGATGCGATGCACGTCAAAATTGGCCATCTTTGCCCTTATCAGCAAGGGGATGACTGCGTTCGGGGCTCCGCCGGGGAGTTCTTCTAGGTAGAAGGTGATGGGCTCTGACCTGCCCTTCACCTTTTCGAACGTCACAGTTTGTGGAGGAGCTGTGTCGACCAGTTCGTCCAACTTCCTCTTGGCTGAATTGATGGTGAGGTCGTTGAACCCGCCCCCGTTGATGCCCATGGCGGAGGGGAAGTACTCCCACCTGCTGTGTGTTGTCAGGGGCTCCTGCAGGAGCTTGGGAATTTTGAAATCCTCGGGCCTGGTTACTGAGAAGGCGGTCTGGATTGGTACCGACTCGTCAGATGGTCGGGCATCTTCTTCGGGCTCCTTAGCTTCATGGGCGTCACGACGGGGAGCGTCGTTTCGCCTGTACTGTGTGAGCCTCCCTCCCTTGATGAGGGTTTCAATGGCGTCCTTGAGGTGGACGCAGTCCTCTGTCAAATGACCATGACTCCTATGGTATTGACAGTATTTATTTTTGTCTGCCCCTGGCTTGGCAGGAGCAGGTCGGGGACGCTTGACGCCACCGTCCCTGAAATCTGTGCTAGCACACTCCGCCAAAATACGCTCGCGGGAAGCCGTGAGCGGAGTGTACTCGGTGAAACGGCCCGAAGGGCCCCTTTGTTCCCGGACCTCCCGGGGTCGGTCTTCTTTCCTTTTCTCCCCGGTACGTCGGGGAGGAGGGTCTTGTCGCGAGCTGCTGCTATGATTGGGAGCGCGAGCTCTGGAGTCTCGGGCCCTGTTGGCAGTTTCTCTCTCCTCGTAGTCCATGTATGCTCGGGCTTTGTCGAGGAGAGCATCAAAAGTTGGAGGTGGCTCAATACCCACAGCTTTTCTGAATTCTGTGCCGGGGAGGAGGCCCCTCTCCAGCAAATATCTTTTCATATGGTCCGCGCAGGGGACCTGTATTGCTTCCCGGTTGAAGCGGTTGATGAATTCCCTCAAGGTTTCATCCTGTCTTTGGATGATGGCCTCGAGGGCCGCCTCGGTCTTCGGGTGGCGCCGAGAAGCTGTGAAGGAACTGATGAACTGGTTCTTCAGGTTCCGCCACGATGTAATTGAGCCCGGGGCGAGCCCTTTATACCAATCCATGGCCGCCTTCCTGAGAGTTGTGGGGAAAAGGCGGCATTTGATGGGCCCCCCGACATTATGATAGTGGAGCATGGCTTCGAACCCGTCAATGTGGTCGACCGGGTCCGCTACTCCATCATACTCCTTCAGATGCGGGGGCTTCTCCATGCCCGGGGGGATAGGTGCATCCATGATGGCCTGCGACAGGGGACCGCGGGGGTCGTCCTCGTCGCTCCTCTCCGGAGAAAGAGAAGGGGTCCTGTAGTTATGTCCGGCACGATGATCGTGCTGAGATTACCTCGAGCGTGATGCTCGGTGGTTGAAGGTCACCCGCCCGTCTCCGGCGTGCCTCTTGTCGTGCCTTGATGGGTCGCGACTGGGTTCTTCGGTAGGGATGACGGGTTGTCTCTCATATTGGGGCCGCCTCTGCTTTGGTCGGGGAGAGGGGCTCCTGGATTTCTCCCTATAATGTCTCCGCGGAGGAGAAGGGTGTCGAGCTTCCGTGACCCGAGGAGGAGGAGAGTGTGGCCTCTGATGTCTCCTCGGGGGTCGGCGATCATCTTCGAGTGCCCTTAATCGTTCTCCTTGGGCGAAGATCAGGTAATTTGTCTGATTAATGGCCGCGAACAGTGCCTGGGTCGTGGCATCTGCCCCGGCGGGGATTGGGACTTCATAGAACCGGGCAGCTCTGCGATAGGCGAGAGCTACCGGGTCGTCTTCGAGTGCTGGAGGGGTCGTAGAGGACGACGCAGTAGCCCCGTCCCTGCGGGAGGAAGGTCCAGGGGCGGTTGTCACAGGGATGGCATTGTGGCCGGGATCACCGGGATTGTCGAGGTGTCCATTCTTGTCCGCGGGGCCGTTATTAGTGTCGGCGACACGGACGGGCTGCTCGTCGTGAGCTGGATCAGCCATGACAGGTAGTTGAATTGAGCTTTGGTCCTTAGAATTGTTCGTTAGACGGGGAAGCTGTTTCCCACAGACGGTGCCACTGATCTGACCTGATCAGAAATGGACCGTCACGGCTGGCTCCGAGCAGAAAGCTTTTTTGAATGAGGTGGGGGGTACCTGCAAGGCACTCCGATGCTGAAGTAAGTAGGAGTACGAGCAGATAATAATAAGTTGAGGTTAGAATGATGAATACCTGACCCTCTGGAAACAGAGGGTATTTATAGCCCCCAGCGCTGGGCCAAGGTTCCTTCATTGGGCCGGGCGGATTTGGCCCAATGGAGGAACTGCCAGGTTCTACGTGGGTAGTGGGGACCCGCACGTGGTCCCCTGCCTGGATGTTCTGCGTGAAGTGCGGGCGGACGAAGACGCGGTCTTTCCGGGATATCGTTGGGGGAACGGTGGACTGAGTCTGCCCTAGTTGGGATGCTCGAGGGGAGGTCGAGCTGGACAGCAAGGTGTCGAGCTGGACGCCAGGTCGTGGAGCTGGACGGCAGGGTGTCGAGCTGGACAGCAGGAGGTGGAACTGGACATCACCACGTGGAGCTGGACAGCAGGATGTTGAGCTGGACATCATGATGTCGGGCACGGATGTGGCCCCTTTGCTCGGCGTGGTCCTCAGTAAGTCCCTTTGGACTGGGCCTTAGGAATGCTTTTGGGCCTGTCGGACCCAGTCCAGAACAACTACATATAAAACTAAGTTTATTCTTTCATTCCTAGACACATGATTTGTCTAGAGATCAATGGATATAATTTGATGTTGTGGCTTCAAATATATTATAAAATAATTATTAATATCACTTATATTAATATATTAATATATTGATTTAATAATTATTAATCTAACTTTAACACTAACACAAAAAAGAAAAACATAACGTTATCGATGGTAGTTGGGACGATGGTGTAGAAAGTTATGAAAATCATTAGAATTGTAATTCACAATTTCACATAGTATATCTATCTTCTATAATAATGTTCAACCTTCGATTTCATTGCTGGCATTGTACTTTGTAATTTCTTGTGCAATATTGTTCACAAAGTAGTTTATAATTTCCTTATCAAAATCGATTAGATGTTTGTACTCATTCAGATGACTATTAAAAAACCATTAAATTTTAGGAAAAAAGAACAATTAAATATCAATCAAAATTAACTATTTTATGCTCATAATTTAAATAAATTATTTGTTTAAACATTTAAGATGTACGATGAAAAATATTTTTTATTAAATATAAGAAACGAGTTTAGTAAATTTAATTTATGTTTTATATGAAATCAAAAAATAATAATACTCAACTAAACTTCTTAATAACTCTCAAAACAATTTTTATTTAAACAATATTATTTGAACTTACTTTTGTAGGCATCTTACATGAACATGGTATAAATAATTAAAGGTAGACGAAGAGTGTAGAAAAACCAAAGAGAATAAAAAAGAGTATTTTAAAAGCCAATTATATCTTATCTGTGTCCACAAGTTCTTTTCAACTTTTGTGACATGTTTTTAACTCTCCAATTCTCCAAAAGAAATCATCTTAAATAATTTAAATTTAATAAAAAAATATAATTATTGATTATATTTAAAAATTATTAATTTATAAATATTAATAATTTATTTATATAAATATAAATAAATATTATCAACGAAAATTAAACTTAAAAAAAAAAATCTTCAATCAATCAGTAAGAAAAGAATCTGTAATGGTTTTTGAGGTCTTGGCAGCATATAATGTTCCTAAATAGAAAAAGACATCAATGTTTCTCCACTGATCTTGTAAGTAGCCTCAATAAATTCAGCACCATCCAAAGTGGCAAAGTGTAGCATATATATCTCCGAAATGTCCATAACAATAATATGAGAAATGATATTTATACAATTAAAATTAGGTGTTAAATAGGTATTTCTTTTGTAATTTTACGGTGTATTAATGTATTTTTAGAATTCGTGTAAATGTATGATAATAAAAAGTAAGAAAGAGATAAAGACAATAGTTTTCTGTTAATACATGATGTCAAATACAGTATCAAATACGGTGTCAATTTTGAATGTTGAAATAACATGGCTCTAATAACATTATATATATATATATATATACATTGAACACAATCAGTAATCACAACATATATGTTCTATATATGATATAAAGTTGGGAGAATAAAACATTGGCTCTTAGATCAAACCAAGCATAGCTATTCACAATGGGTTTACATTTTTACATCTCAATTCTTTCTATTGCAGCTTTGGCTCTATGCACTTTAGCAGAAGAAGACAGTAAGATTAATTTCGTTTTGCATTTCTCATAAAAACTTAATTTGATTTGATTCATAAATATTATTGATTTTTTTTTAATTGTATGGTAGGTTCTGTTAATTTTAGTTATATTGGTCAAAATGGTCCAGAGAAATGGGGAAGTTTGAGTCCAGATTATGCAGCATGTTCAAATGGGAAAATTCAGAGTCCAGTGGATCTTGTATACACAGATATTGTTTTGAACAATCAATTGAAACCATTAGAAAGAAACTACGTTCCTACAAATGCTACACTTGTTAACAACCAATTCAATATTGGGGTATGTATCAATCTTCATCAACTATTAAATCATATTTAAGTGTATCACTTGCTTGTTAAACCAATCCAGTTACTAGCCCTGCAAAGATATATATCTACATAAGGAGTGCAGATTTGCTACATCTGAGTTATTTATATTTAATAATTAAACTTTTTGATCAACTGATATAAATAAATTTATGTTATTGAATTTGGTATTTATAGGTTCATTTTGAAGGAAAAGTGGGAGACATTTATATTAACGGAAAAAATTACTCATTAAGACAACTTCACTGGCACACTCCTGCAGAGCACCGGGCGCATGGCCGTGTGTAAGTTTTTTCTTATTCTTTTTTCTTAAAATCGTCTCGAGTACAATTATGTAACAATTACGAACTAATGGTACAAAATATTGTGAATACAGACATGAAGCAGAGCTTCACTTAGTTCACCTAACAGAAGATAACAACAATATAGCAGTTGTGGCATCACTTTACAATTTGGGTGATCCTGATCCTCTAATCTCCAAGGTACATTTATTCAACTGATCACATTCATAATTATTATGTGATTTATAGTATAAACTAGAAAAATTTATATCATTTCTAATGTTACTTATAGATTGAAGACAAGTTATATGAGCTAGAAAACCAAAGTCGTGGTGCAGGAAACAAAAATGCCAAAATTTCCCTTGGCATATTTGATGTAAAAGAAATAAATCAAAATATTCATAGATATTATAGATATATTGGATCTCTCACAACTCCTCCATGCACAGAAGGTGTCATTTGGAACATCGTCGGAAAGGTAATACTTAACCTATGAGTGTGTATAATTGTTAAATTAAAAATTGAGAAATTTTTCTTTCTAAATCAAACGATTCTACAGTTTGATATATCTTATAGCGTCTATTTAGTTTTAAATTTCGCTATATATGTTATATATGCAGGTGAGAACATTGTCCAAGAAACAACTTGAACTTCTAAAAAAACCATTGAGTGTGAATTTTTCCCATAATGCAAGGCCACTTCAGCCATTGAACGGTCGCCAAATTGAGATGTATCACTATCACCCTAATCGGAAGTAAGGGACTCAAACACCATGAAACATTATAAAGTTACGTAGGTATCATAAAATTAAGGGTTCTTTATTCTTTTAAGGACACTTTTTTAGGATTGAGATCAAATAATTTTGTTTTTGGTTCTTATTCCTCATATGATAAGAATTTAAAATAAATTTGGAAAACTCTCAATTTAATTGTATTTTATTTACTAAAATAATTGTATTAATTTGTAAAATTCACTTTAAAAAAAGTGTGGCATGGTCTCTCTTTAGTTGTTGCATTTGGATATAAAAATTATTTCTATTTGATTGTCATTTTAAAGTTGGTGAATTTAATTGTGATTGTCATTTTAAAGTTGTTGAATTCAGTTGTGAGTAGTTAAATATTACATCGATTAAAAATAGGAAAAATGTTGAATGTATATAAGAAAAACGACACATGCATATGTTGCCTTAAGGTTCTCAATAAATATAAGGTGACAAGGTCTCTTGGATCTTCAATATTTAGTTTATTGACACTCTCGATGCTTTTCAGACTCTCCAACAAAAGTTTAGTATAATATTAATTATTAATTTATCAATAATGTACTTGCTAAAAAATATAATGAGAACAATTTCTTACTATGTAGGATTGTCTGTAATGTTTAGGATATTTGCTTGCTCTTAAGACTAGCTGACGTAAGGTCGTGAAAAGTAGTGTATATGGCTTTCTTGGAGAATGATCTGATCCATTTCCCAACCTTAAGGATGAGATATTTACAAAGGCTCTATGGGCCAGTGTTAGAGAGTTAGAAAACAATTTCCCTTGCTTCCATTACCAGAGAACGTTGCAAAGAGGAGACTTGCTCTCCCAAAAATCACGGGGAATCAGTTTTTTATTTTGACTCTCTCTCCAGCCAGTCACCATATGGACACATGTCATCACTCACGTTTACTGGACATACGATGGTTACTTCGGGCGGCCCAAGCCCAACGGATGACCTGTCACCGAACTCGGTGGCCTTATGCTCCATCTCGAGCAACCTATTACTTCGCTCATTTTTTAATGACACCTTTTATTAGGGCCTGATAGTCCCTCAAGCACGAGGCGTTGGTTAGGAAAAAGTGATTTTAATTGTACACTTTAGGTCTTTGTATTTTTGTTGAATACAAGAAAGTCCCTCTAACAAAATTGGGGGTGTGTCCCTCAAGCAGAGCTTAGAGCGAGTCCCTCAAGAGGATTTGTGGGAAGTTCATCATGTCGGCTTGGGGCGATTCTCTCAAACATCGCTATTAGTAGCATGTGCAACTTTAAATACCCATAATGATGTAACTACCTAAGGAAGGTAAAGAGGTTCAGAACCATACGCGCGTCAAGGACTTAGAGAGAAATTTTTGGCGTGGGTAAAGAGATCATTATTGCCTATTTTTCATAGCCTACACTTCTATAAAAGGGATTGTTTCACTTCATTTTCAGTCTCACTTCCATATTCCGCATTCATTTGAACAAGTTGTTTGTCTTCTCTAACACAAGATTCACTCTTCCGCTTACCCAAAGGTATATACCTTTTACCTTCTCTTCGCACCTTTACTTTTCAATCATATGGATTATTAAGGAATTAGATGGGTGTGGTAACATGATAGAACCACCCAATGATTGAGAGGGGGCTAAGATGTATTTGTGTTGTATAAAGAATGTTAAATAGATTGACATATTCATTAACTATATGATGTTAGAAATATGGGTGTTTGGGAGTTATGAAAGCACTTCAAGATATGATAGTGCGAGTGATAGTGACTCCTTTTTTCCCTTATGTTTTCTTAGGCACCACAAATCTACTAATGACATCTACCTCTTCTAAGAAATCAAGATTTGAATATCACGAGTCGACTTACACCAAGCAAGAGAAGGTGGACTGACACCTTCTGCAAATGTCTTAATTTGTTTGGGTGATCACCAATGTTTTTAATTAGCTTTATTTCCTTGATTTTTGTGTATTTTATCTACATTTTACTTCTGAAATGGGTATTTTTCACTATGTTTTAGTTGTAAAGCATTTGGCACTGGCTATTAAGAAAAAGAGAAGAAAAAATAAAATGATCAGTGACGGCCGTCACGGCTAGAAGAAGATGATTGCCATGGAATCATGACACAAGGGACCTACACTAAAGATATGACGGGAAACCCGACGCCAACCATGACACCCATCAACTTCCCGTGATCTATAATTTGGGGAGTTAGGGGAATGCCCATCTCCAACCATGACGCCCATCATCTTCCCAAGATCTATAATTTGAAGAGATGACAGGCAGACCGTCATCAGCGATGACAGACTCCGCATTTTTGAATATTTCATTCTCTTATTTCAGTAATTTTCCTTGGATTTTATTGCATTTTTGCACGTCTTGTAATGTACTTAACTGCCACTTAAGTGGGAAAATAAGCACATAATATAATTTTAATATGGATCTATGTCCTTCCAGGTATAAAGTTGACAATCTCGTAAGAGATCCTCTCTAAAATTTTGATGAGGACAACGTCAACAATTATGATGGAGTGGGTGGAAATAGGTTTCAACCCTCTGATGATGGTGACCTAACCAGATAAACACCTCATGCCTCATCAACAAAAAGAGAGTAAAGATTAAAGTTCTTATACGATCGATGCATCTAGAAAAAAGTCTTGAGAGTCTCATAGTAATAAAAGAGAGGAAGTATGGAAGCTTGCCAAGTCGTGTTTGTTGGTCTATCTAAGTGAACTGATTATTGTAAAAGCATGATAATATCTTAATAGTATTAAGGCAACTCTCTTTCACACACACACACACAACATCATTCAAAATGTTTCTATCTTGAAAGTGATTTTCTAAGCCAAAACCAAGCAATTTAAAAGTTGTCCAAACTTTTTATAACTATTTAATCGATTAGTAAGATGTGTCAATCGATTAGAAAAAAAATTTTAACCAGCCAATCGATGGAAAACTATGGTAGTTGATTAGAAGAGTGTCAGTCTATTACTTAAACAAGAAAGTGAAAGCTAAGGAAACACAAGAAAGGGGATTCGAATTGGGTTTCTAGAATGGAACTTTTTCGTGGCCTAAAACAAAGAATAAAGAACTTAGAATAAAAATAATTAACACAAATTTTTTTATATGGGTTCGCTCTTAACGAAGATTCCTCCAGTTCACCCTCCAAGGGGATTCCTCCTTCTCACAAGGACTTAATCCACTATAACCAAACCTGATTATAACCATAAATAACTATTGTCAACCTCTTCTTGAGACTTCTGACTAAACCCTAGTCTCTCAAGGAATAAAAATTCAAAAGTTGAGATACAAAAGGTGTGTTTACAAATATGCTTCTACGAAATAAGATTACACAAATGAAATACAATGATTAACACAAATATGTTTTTGAGCAAGTGTATGAACAAAAGTTCCTTGCTTTACAACTTTTCTCACAAAGATGAAATATTTACCTTCAAGTTTTCTTAGCACCAGTTCGTGTGAAAAAGGTCATCTTCCAATCTTCCAAGGCTTCTTTATATATGAATAAAAGATCCGTTGGAGGGTAGAATAGGAATTCCACTACTCCAGTTGTATCCTTGCATAACGCTCAGTGAGAGTGGTAGACAAAATGGTACCATAATATTGTCTGTACGCCACATAATTAGTGTAGTGGAAGGAATATGTGATCTTGTGCCATGTATTATTCACTCACATAAAACCTTTTTGACCTTATCTTCTAATCTTAAGATTCTTCAGAATATGTGTTGATAAAGCATGCTTAGAAGGATCAAACGCATAATGAAAGTCTTCAGAACTTTATCTTCAGAACCTTGTCTTCAGAACCTTGTCTTAAGAGTCTTCTGAAATTGGTTTTCAGAACCTTAAAACTTGAGAGTGCAGAATCTTCAGAGCTTGATAATCTTCATAAGCTCTTTAATTAGAGTGTACTCAACCATCCAAATCCTGATCTGTTGGACATGTCTTAGAAAATAGTTGAGAAAGTAGTTATGGGTGGTACAAGCACGAAAGATAGTTATGTTGTCTCGTATCACAATATTGAGACCACATCACCTCAATTATATAACACTTAGAGACTATCTAGTATGATAAACAAGATTCCATAATTCTATGCATTTGAATTAAAACATGAACCACAAAAACCTTTTATGCTTCATAAGATTTGTCTTGTGAAAGTTTTGAAGGGAGATGATTGGTTGGAGATGCCCGTAATACAATTGTGATGCTTGTAAGTATAATTCTTATAGTAATTTCAATTTATATTTATTGTTCTCATACTTTAACATAAAGTTTTTACATTTGAATTAACTTTTAATTAGGGTTTTACATGAGATGTGTGATGAGAGAAAATTGAAAAAGTATTGTTTCATAGATCCATTGAACATTATTAAATTTCAAGGTAATGATACAGACACTATCAAAATGCATAAACAAAATAAGTTAGTTAAGGAGAATAAAGAATATTACACGACACTGTTTATCCATAAATAAGTATATGCTTTAATTTGTGTTTTTATTTATAAATCAATTATATATATTATTAATTAAGCTTAAATGCACTTTGGATCCTCCAACTTTAATTTTGTTAAGGTTTTACTCCTCCTTTAAAAATCTCAACTTTTTAATCCCTCTATTGAATATTTCTTGGGAATTTTTTGGCCCCCTTTCAAATTTGCAGAGGTGGTGTAATACGATGGAAGAAATGACTTGTTTTACATTTTATCGCAAATATTGCAGATAGCTAGAGTCGCCACCGACTTTTCTTTTATCCAATAAGGAAAGGTTAAAAGAACAGGAAAGACCTTGATAGATTTTGAGTTCGGAGGGTAAGTTAAGAAAGGGGAAGGTGTTAGCACCCTTTTCATCTGTAGTTATCTACGGGCTCTTAATCGCTTAGCTCGCTTTGAAAATTTGCTTTTTTGTGTAAGTGTTTGAAAATATTTTGAAATTTTGCCAATGTAAGGTGAAATTTGTAATGATTCCTATATCAGTCCTCAAGAATGCGTACAAAGTGTTTTGAAAATGTTTGTTTTGAAAATAGTGTGAGAAAAGTATTTATGAGAAACATTTGTGAGCAAGCGATTAAAAGTATCCTACCCACTCAAGGTCGTTCTTGTTATTTTCCTCCTCCTTTAGAGATAGGAATATCTGCACGATTAGTTGGTAGGTAGCTCTATCTATTGGATTCAAAGGGACAAGCTGTAGCGATAAAAAATGTAGCGGGGTAAATCGGAGATCGAACTATTAATTAATTCGTCTCACAAAAAGCAAGAGTCGCCACCGCGCTTTATTATTTCCAAGGGAAAAGGGAAAAGAGCGAAATAAAACCCTAAAATATGCAATGTAAAATAATACTTTAAAAGTAATGAAAATACAAGGCGTTTTGAAAAGAGGTCTAAGGTTCGGGGTTGGTTATACAATGGGAAGGTATTAGCACCCAATGTATCTATAGTATTCTATAGGAACCTTTTGAAATATTTGTTTATTAAAATGTTTGTTTGATTAAAAATAAATTGTTTTGGCCAAAAATGGGTATGGACGAGTTTTTGAAGATACGACGACCTAATGTCGAAGTTTTGACTTAAAGGGTGTGAGTTTTGAAAATTTGAATATTTGGGAAAATTATCTTAAGTTTTTAACGAAATAAATAACGGAGGATGAATGAGGGTATTCGCACGATGTTTTTTTTGATGACATGAAGTCGACAAAAATTAAACAATTCCCTTGGATTTTGCAAGCAACATGAAGATCAAAACTAAAAGTATAAACACTCCAAGATTTTAAAAGAAAACCAATAGAGAAGCCATGGAATTAAATCGAAATTATCACAAACTCAACCAACATGTATCATGGGAGGAACAACATAAGGGGGAATAAATTCAAAGAGATAACTTACAAATTTATCAATAAAAGACTAGTTAAAAAAACTAACAAAATTAACTAACATGCTGACCAAACGAAATATTAAGATTTAAATAAATTATAAAACTAAACTAATTAACTGGGTTATAAACTGAAAACGAAATAAAGGTCCAGCATGGGACTGAAAACGAAATCGAACAACGCTTCCTTCGAACTCTCTTTTTTCTCTCTTCGAACTCCCTCTTTCGAACTCTTCGAACTCCCTCTTTCGAAATCCCTCTTTTCTCTCTTCGAACTCTCTCTTTAGAACTCTCTCTTTTCTCTCTTCGAACTCCCTCTTTCGAACTCTCTCTTTTCTCTCTTTCGAACTCCCTCTTTCGAACTCTCTCTTTTCTTTCTTCTGAGCGCTTCTCTTTCGAACTCTTCTAAAACGAAATCGAACAACACCAACAACGAATCCTGCTCCATCAATTCAAACTCTTCTCACTCTCTAAATCGAAATCGAACAACTCTGCTCCCTAAATCAAAAACGAACAACAACAACTGCTTTTGGTTTCGAACTCTTCCTAAATCAAAACGAACAACACCACTGCTACTAGTTTCTAACTCGAACAACAACACTGCTACTGGTTTCTAACTCGAACAACAACATTGCTACTGGTTTCGAACTTTTCCTAAATCAAAACGAACAACACCACTGTTTCTGGTTTCGAACTCTTCCTAAATCAAAACGAACATCACCACTGTTTCTGGTTTCGAACTCTTTCTAAATCAAAACGAACAACAACATTGCTACTGGTTTCGAACTCTTCCTAAATCAAAACGAACAACAACACTGCTACTGGTTTCGAGCTCTCTCTCCCTAAATCAAGAATGAACAACAACACTGTTTCTAGTTTCGAACTCCTTCCTAAATCAAAACGAACAACATCACTGCTACTGGCTTCGAATTCCTTCCCAAATCAAAAACGAAC